CCTAACCAACTGGACTGCCAATTACTGCTGGCTTCTTTCCAGAGTCCTTGCTAACCAATCCCACTGGACTGCTAATTCCTGGCATCTTCCTCCCAGAATCCTTGTTAACTGGTCCCACTGGGCTGCCAATTCCTGGTGTCTTCCTTCCAGAGTCTTTGTTGGTTGGAACTGTCGTACTGCCAGTCCCTGGCATCTTTCTCCCAGAATCCTTGTTAACCAATCCTGTAGGACTAGTTATTCCCAGCAACTTCTTCCCAGCATCCTTGTTAATCAATCCTGCTGGAGTGCCAATCCCTAATGGCTTCTTGACAGACTCCTTATTAGTCAATGCAGTTGGAGTGCCAATACCCTGAAGTTTCCTCCCAACATCTTTGCTGATTAATCCAACTGCAGAGCTGGTCACTGGCTGCTTCTTTCCAGAGTCCTTGCTCCCTACCCCAGCCGGAGTGCTGATCCCTGGTGGCCTCTTCCCAGAGTCCTTGTTAACCAATCCAACCAGTGGGCCAAGCCCCTGTGACTTCTTCCCAGAGTCTTTGTTAACCAATATGGCTGCACTCCCAATCCCTAATGGCTTCTTCCCTGAGTCCTTGTTAACCAACCCAACAGCAATCCCAGATCCTGGCAATTTCTTTACCAAATCTTTACTAACTAACCCACTTGCAGTTAGAGTTCCTGGTAGCTTCTTCCCAGAGTCTTTAACCAAACCAGATGCAGTTCCACTTCCGGGCTTCTTCTGCTTTGTTTTGGAAGACTTTGAGGGAGGACAAGTTGCAATAAGTTGAGCCAATTTCTCTGTTACAGTTGTTGCTCCGTTAATCTGTGTTCTATCCTTTAAGTCAGAATTATGGCTACTGATAAGAGTCGGAGGAGATGACTTTATATAATCTGTCATTTCAGAGTGCAATGGGGAAACTTTCTTAGGTAAAGGATTTGTTTCTACTTGTATACCTTCTTCCACATGTAATTCAACTGTTGCAACTTCTCCAGCTTTCTTGTAGGACTTTGAAGCATCCTAGAAGTTAATAAAAAAATAACCTTTAGGAACAGAGCAGAAAGTCCCTGAGCAACACAGTGTCTTTTTTATGTTGAGATGATTAATGCCTGGTCTCGGTACAGGGGATCTACATAAACACACATGATCATATTCATTCGAAAACAAGTATGTTTCAATGGACATGGGAAGGCATTTCTGATGTTAAGGAAACCCAGACTTACTCCTGGTCCTCAAATGTAGGGACAAGCCAAGGGGAATGGCTTGAACCTGCCAGAGGGGAGACTGAGATGAGCTCTGAGGCAGAAGCTCTTCCCTGTGAGGGTGCTGAGGCGCTGGCACAGGGTGCCCAGAGAAGCTGTGGCTGCCCCATCCCTGGCAGTGTTCAAGGCCAGGTTGGACACAGGGGCTTGGAGCAACCTGCTTTAGTGGAAGGTGTCCCTGCCCAGGGCAGGGGTTGGAGCTGGATGATCTTAAGGTCCTTTCCAACCCAAACCAGGCTGGGATTCTACAATTCCGTATCTCCTATCAAGCCTGGTGTGAAATCCACACTTCTCACACTAGAAACAAATGAGGAAGTGCAAAGTAGTCTCAGCTTCCAAAAGCTGAAGTAAAAGAAACCAGTTTGTTACTGAAAATGTTGCCTGTTAATTCTCTAGAGCTACCAGCCAGCAAGGAGGATTTTTCCATGCACACACACATTAACATGTAGCTCCTGTACCTCTGGCCAGGGCACAGGCTCCAGTTCAAATGAGCATCCTGAAGAACCACAGAATTGTTTGTGTCATTGTGGCATCGATCTATCCTAGACAAGTGCCCCAAAGAATAGTGACTGAAAGTGTGTTTGCTATTTTCACCACCAAGACTTTGTGGTCCTTTCCAAGAGCAAGTTTTAGCTACCTGCCAGGGGAAAAAGAAAGACTTTGTGTAGTGTCAGACTCATGTCCCAGGAATGGAAGGGAAGTGGCTGTGATTTCATCAGCAAACCCTCCTGTAGAGCTTCCCTCCACAACCAAGGGTAATAGAAAGAACTACAGAACATTGTGCTCAGCACTTTGCCACAGCAAGAAGGAGATGGAGCAAAAGGGCATGTTCCAACTTGCTTCCCTGGGACTGTTTCAGAACTGCAGCAGGCTGTTACTATTGCTTCTCACCTTTCTGTTTTCTAAACCTTCAGTAATGCAACTCTGCTGTGTCAGTGGCTACATCTACCTTGCAAGCATGGGTAAAGCATACACGTGCTAAACTAACCAAGCAAGGTTTGTGTTTATGGTTAAGGCTCAGGTTTTCAGGCTTGGCAAAGGTTCACCAGCCACACAATGTCTGTCACAGGCCACTCTTCTGAAAGAAAGCAATCCAGGTTTCACACTCAGTGTCAAAAGCAGATCAGAGTGGCTGGTTTTGCTCTTACAGGAACTTCTGTTTCTCTCAGCACTGGGAATCTTGGCCAGTTCCAGGTCTCTCTTTTCTGCTCTGATTTTCTCTTCAGCACATGATTAACTTTGGTTGTCTACACATTTCTGGGGGACAAATGGGGAACATACAAACTACCCACCTCACCTCTTTCAGGATGGAGATAACCCTCTATTGGCATAACTGGAGACACTCTAAGTTTTAAGAGTCCTTTCAGCAGTAAGCTTGAGATGGAATCACAAATCTCAGAGACAGGAATGCAAAGTATTTTCCTATTATTTTAGTTTTCACATTGATATTCCCAGGAGAAGATTTCCACTGCTTCTCTTTGTGTCTTACTATACTCAGTATATGTATCTGTGAGTATACTGCAAGTGCTAAATTTTCAGTCTAAATCTTTATTCCTCCTTTAAGAGCACAGAAAATACAGCTCCGCAGCTCCAAGTTTTGCCACACCTTGCTCCAAACTGGATATATTTGTTTCCCCCCCCCCAATCAATGAAAGATTAAAGGCTCAATTCCATATTCTGAAGCAATTTGCAGTGCTAAAACTTGATTTATTTCACTGCAGTAAGAAAAAGAACAGACAATCCCTCAGGTATTGTATTCCAAACATGCAATGGCTTTAATGGGTTTAAACCATGTTTACCATTTGCTTCCACAAAGCCACTTTTTAATCACACGTGCTCCAAATCAGGATGTTGTAAAGTGTCATCAGCCAAAGTGCCAGCAGGGAACAGGCAGAGTTAACCAACCTGAAAACCCTTTCAGTACAGTTTGAGAGAGGAGCAGAGTATCTGAAGTGAATTTGCATTACTCAGGGATTTTAAACTACCTGAAGTAACGCAAGTTTAATGCAACAGATCTGTGCTTCTCTCCACTACAGGTTGAGGTTGATCACCAGGCGAGGAGCAGGAGTAACTCCACTCAGAACAGCTGGAATTAAAAAGGGATCTGGAATCACTGGCACCATCTAGAATATCAATAACATTTAATAAGATCAGTCCTATTTGTTTCCTGACTTTCCCATTTCCATCTGAAAGACGACAGACCTCTTGAAGAAAAACCTAATAGAGACGCTCGGATGCCAAGGATGAAGAACCCATCCTGCCACCATCTGAGCTCACGTATTAGTTACTCTCCCTGGTTAAACCTCCCAGGGCACGATCTCCTTATGCAATGGGAAGTTTCCATACCTAACTGGTTTCTATGCTACTAAGAGATTTCCAGTTGCAAGTCCCACCTCGATTTGGACATCAAGAGAGATCAGTGACTTGCACAGCCCCCGTTAGCCCAGTGCTCCACTCACCGCAATAATGAAACCAAACTCATCTGCAAAAGGACAAACTGGGATGTGCTCTTCCAGTGTTTGTGCAAGATGAAGTTAGAGAAAACATGAGAAGCAATAAGCTTGTTCTTAAATGGAAGAACGTAAAATAAAGGCCACAGCCAAAGTTTTAAGTCATGTAACGAACCACCTGAGAATTTCTTCTTTGCTCAGACTGAAAATGCCTTTTTGTTTGTAAGGGAGGAAAGAACCCAATGCAGTTGCACGGTAAGAGCCTGGAAAAAGTAATTCTAGTCACTGCATGTGACAGCCAGCACACTTGTTCTTGCAGGGCATCATTTCCTATTTCACTTTGAAGATCCTCTGCCTCAAGGAAAACGTAAGTCTGGGTACACCATGGGAAGGAAAAAGGCTTGGGTATGTCAGAGGGACGTTGTCTAGTACAAGTTAAAGGAATTTTCCTTCCCTTTGGATAGGCTCTACCTCAGGAGATATGCCAGGACAGATTGATGCAGGTAGCCTTATAAAACCCCTTCAGCCTTAAGAGCCTTTGAGAGAGAAGCCCAACCCATGCGATGGAAGGGCTCTAACTTCAGGGACTCGTATTCCCTGTTGTGAAGCTGAACAAGGCCACATACATGAACAGGAGAAGGGGAATGGCTTTAACCTGCCAGAGGGGAGGTTGAGATGAGCTCTGAGGCAGAAGCTCTTCCCTGGGAGGGTGCTGAGGCGCTGGCACAGGGTGCCCAGAGGAGCTGTGGCTGCCCCATCCCTGGCAGTGTTCAAGGCCAGGTTGGACCCAGGGGCTTGGAGCAACCTGCTCTAGTGGAAGGTGGCCCTGCCCGGGGCAGGGGTTGGAGCTGGAGGAGCTTTAAGGTCCGTTCCAACCCAAACCAGTCTGGGATTCTATGATACATAAGGACCATGCAAGGAAAGTGGGAGAGACAAATATGCACTCACAAGAAAACACGGGCCAGTGCAAGACAAATGGCAGCATAGGGAAAAACCTCAGCTTTAAATCAGAAGGCAACAGGAGACACAGTGTGGGGGGTCTATTCTAACATTTGATTAGGTGGCAAATCATGTATATTGGAATAAAGAGCAGGCTGTAGCAAAGCCCTTCTAACATTCAGCATCTCTGCAACTGCATTTCGAATTCTTGCCATTTATCCTCTTTTCCCTATCTGTTATTGCTGCTCTTACTTGTTACATCATGCAGATCATAAAAAGAAGACATCCTCAAGGCAGGGCTATCTCCTTACACCTGGAAAATACCTGGCACACCTCTCAAGCCACTCCATTTTCATGCAGTTTCTTAGGGGCTGTTTGCTAACACATCTGCAGGAGTATTTTTTACTTTGCAGACACTGCTCACTATGTTCCTCACAGAGTATCAGTTAAACCACAGCAAAGCCAATGCTTCTAACAGGTAAGAAAACGTAAAGCCAAGTACTAGAGATGAGCACAGCAAATACACGGCCCCATTCACACAAAGACAAGACCCCCCTCAATTTCTTCTGTACAAAGGATTACAAATGAGCTGTTACTTTCCAGAAACGTACCCATGATGTTCACTTCAAGTTAACATGGGAATCATCTTTTACTACTGAAAAAGCCCAACACAGACAAGCTGCAGAAGGGCAAAGCCATTATTCCCTGTCAATGGAAATGAAATCAAACCATTTCTAACTTCAGAACTTTCCATACCAGAGCTTACACAGATAAACAGTTTGTAGAACATGGTTGTGCAGAGATGCTACAAACTTTTCAGCGGGGTTTAAACTTACTATGACTTGCAAAACACCACATAAACACATAACTGGGGCTGGGGGACACGGTTTAGTGGTGGACTCGGCAGTGCTAAGTTAACAGTTGGACTTGATCTGAAAGGTCTTTTCCAACCTAAATGATTCTCTGATTCTACTCACTTGTTTTGAAGGACAGTGCTCATTCTTCTCATCTGTCATCTTCCCACTCTTGGGGGCCCTTCTTGGTTGCTTGATGCTGGTTTTTATAGCAGGCCGGCACACATAGTTCTCCAGGTTCTTGGGAGGCTTTTTTGTCCGCTTTGCCTGGAGCCCAATCTTCAGCTTCAGGTTCCCCTCAGAAAAGTTTGTTTCCTTCACTGAAAACTGTTGCTGGGCCTCAGTGAGAGCCTCGTTCTTCCCATCCTCAGCACTGTTCCCCTCCCGGTTCTTCTTCTTACTGTCGTCTTCCTCCTTGGTACAACTTTCCAGCTCTACTTCTCCTTTTCCCACCAACGTGCCAAGGTTTACCACAGAGGGGCTTTTCCCAGAAAACCCTTCAGAATCAGAACCCAAGCCTAACATAGCAGTATTCCGAGGGTCCATCACAGGAAAATATGCCTTCAGGTAACTGCAGGGAAGAGCTAGAGAGATATGTTCCACAGAAGATCTGTTCTACTACTGGCAGTCAGCATCTTTTACCCTGTAGAAGGAAAAGACAGAATTAACCTTTGATTTTCTAGCAGGAATTAAATGAGTATTAAAACCAACCCAAAAGCAAACAATCCTATTGCAGACAAGCACGCACTCAGCTGAAAACACCAACCTGTTCCATAACCTACTACACAAATACAATTTATTGTAAAGCCGCTTTTAAATGATAGGTGAAAAATCAAAAGGAGGTGATTATTGTAATGTAATTTCCAATTCATCCACAGGACACTTCAAATAATGATTAAGGTTTTTAGTATTGATCATCAAAGTATTTTCTTTATTTAAAACCAGAGGGCACCTATTCCTGGTTCTGCCACTCGTAGTCTGGACCCACTTCAACAGTTGCACCTAAGGAATGATGGAGCTAATGAAACCTATGCTAAAGCATCCAATACCCAGAAACATTTTCATCACCTGAGCCACCAGGAAAGTTGAGTTTAACCCAAGTTATGCACTGGTTTGCAAACATGCCACAAAAGCCGCTTGTTACTTAAGAACTTCCCACAATTCAGGAAGAAGGAGAGGAGAACAGAAGGAAACTCACAAAACAACCCCACCAAAGACGTGCACACACTGATTTGTACTTCCTGGAGCACGGGAACAGAGAAATCCACACTTGTAGCAGCAGACACATGGTTCTTTCCTATTTATCATAACGTATTAGAGGGAACTTTTTCATCTTAACTAAAGCAACAGCTGATTTGACACAACTTGCTAATGCCAGGGCTTCAAATCCCAGCTACTTGTGCAGTGTGTTCTCCTTTCCCATCAAGCCCGGTGCTCAGCCCATCAGGCTACAGCACATCACCACACACGCATGCACTGGCCAGCAATGAAATAAGTCTAAACTCATGCATCAAGTTTTATTATTCAAGTTCAAGACTAAGAGAGAATCCTACAGGCCACCATGGAGCTCTCAAATCCACCTTCACACCGCTGTTTCCTTCTCTAGTGCCTGGGGTCCACAACAGCTACAACACTTCAGTTGTTTTCTAACATATAAAATAGAGAAAGTGTAAAATCTGAAACCAAATTAAACTGAAAGAGCACCATCAATTCTGCTGTACTTAGCTCCAAATGTACTTAACAGCAAGACTTGAAGTAATTCCTCATATACTGACCTTAGAACCTGCAAGACCAAGACAAAGCACACACTGAGAGTTAAAGAACTGCGTTAAAGCGCTGTTCAGCAGTAACAGCAGCAGTAACAACCCTAGAAACAAACGCACAAACTGATGCCTCTCATAAACACGTAGCAGGTCATTTTATTTAGCCATTAATTCCTCTCTAAACAGGCAACAGAAATGCTAATCCTGGAGCTCAGCATCATTTTGCCTCCATCACTGTAATCTCCTCCCTGACTCCCCAATTACCCCACTCTGATTCACAGAAAACCTGACAACTGGATCAGTTCCTAACCATGAGCTGATGAGATCTCACCTCTTTGAGGCTCCACAACGCTGCTTCTTCCCCACCTGACCAAGATCAAGCTTCCTGCCTTGTCCTCAAGGTGTAACTGCACCTTGGTTCTTCACTTCTTCCTGTTCCTCGTGCTTCTGTTTCACCAGTGACAACATTCCATCGCACGTGCTCATTTCTTCATCCTTCCCCCTTTTATTTAAGTAACACCACTCACTGCTTTCTCTGTGCTACTCTTCACACTTTGCCTACAGGATCTTTAGCATTCTTCTTGCAGCTCCTGCCTTAAAATCTCCGTGTGCAAATGCAGCCAAATGATGACAGCCAGAGTTCAGAGGCAGCTACACAAGACTGACTTTCCTGGATTAAGAACCATCTTGTACCAGATCTCTACACGGCCTTACAAATGATGATCAAGACATGCCCAAATCATCACCCCAAGAAGCAAACCACATCAAACTGCCAGTCTCTCATCCAGTAGACTCTGTACGTCTCAAATCCCTCCTGGAATCATTCTTCCCCAGAAGATTAACTAGGAAGCATTTTGACATCCGCTTTGACATGTGCTACCTAGAACTAAACGCTGTTCAGGAATGGTTCTTCTAATGCCATTTACAGGTTTCACACTTTTTAGTCATTCTTATTTCCCTGGTGACACATCCAAAGCCCTTTTTGTCCATCACCTGCTAAGATTTCTGTACCAAGGGCTGACTTCCACTGCCAGCTCCTCGATACATTTCCCTCCATCCCATTAGCAATATTAAATGAGATTTTGTTTTCCTCTGTCCAATTTACTACATATCTTCCCTTCTGCTCCTGCTGATAAAAACATACAGGGATTTTCTATTTGGAAGGTGGTTTTCTTTCGTTAAGCTTCAGCTCCAAGGGATGTCAAAAAATCCAGCTGAGCGCTTGAAATCCCAAACCATTCCTAGTAAGTTTTGGCCTCCTATAATTGCTTCTCATAGGCCTTGTCTTCTTTCTTCTGCTGTGGAAGTCAGCTACCACACTTAGAAGTTCTTTCTCAAAAAAAGAGTAACATGTATCATAAAACCCAAGTGTACGTCTCCACAAAGCAGCATTGGAGGTCACTGAAATGGAAGTTCAAGGACCTTGGGACAACAAATGGGAGCAAGACACTGATGCTGTAGGAAGAGGTGCATGATGACACTCCAAGTATGCTCCAGTGGGAGGGAGACTTTGTAAGCAGATGTGATGTTTCTTCTGGTGTCTCAATCTCTGGTGTCCTACCTTAACTGAAAAGGCTGGAAGCACAAGATTCCCTTTGGACTGGCCTGATAATTTTGATACTTCACTATTAATGTGCAAATCAACATGAAATTGCCAAACACTGTTTAACGAACCCCATATCTGATCAGACCAAAGGGTCACTTAGCCTTAAGCTGTTAGACCCAACATCAGACAAGGGGCATGGTAACCCAGTGTCTGAAGGGGGCTACAAGGATGCTGGAGAGGGACCTTCACCAGGGACTGGAGCGACAGGACAAGGGGTGATGGGTTCAAACTGAAACAGGGGAAGTTTAGACAGAAGCTCTCCCCTGTGAGGGTGCTGAGGCGCTGGCACAGGGTGCCCAGAGAAGCTGTGGCTGCCCCATCCCTGGCAGTGTTCAAGGCCAGGTTGGACACAGGGGCTTGGAGCAACCTGCTCTAGTGGAAGGTGTCCCTGCCCGGGGCAGGGGTTAGAACTGCAGGAGCTTCAAGGTCCCTTCAACCCAAACCATTCCACGATTCCACCTTTAACTCCTGCCATAATGCGCAGACAAGGTCCTTGGTTACACCAAGATCCCAGCGCCAGGATGGCCACACACCACATAAGCTGCGCGGCGCAACAGGTAACGCCAGGGTACAGAAAATTAGGAGCAAATCCAGGTTTTGCTTTCACAGACTATGGAATTCTCCTTCCTTCTGCTTTCATTCTCGGGTGCGCTCTGTCTTACGGGTTCTAACTCCGAGCAAGTCAGCTCTCAGACCTTTGGTTTTCCTTTCTGGAAGCGGGGAGACAAACCACACGACCCCAGCAGAGCGGAGGAAACGCATCCCCAGTGGCAAACGCCCTCCTCTTGCCAACACCAAGTTCCTTGACTAAAAAGTCAGGAATCCATCCGACAACAACACCCATTTCAAACCAACTGTAATTCAGTAACTATCAGTGCTCCTTCCATTCTTCTCGTGTGACAACAGCACTACAATTTCTATCCGTAAGCCCATCCCTTGCATCAAGCCTTCAAACTGCTTTTTGTATCCTCGAGGACAGCTTAAACTTCTGCAAACAACAGAAAACAAGCTGCTGCTTTTTGTAAATCATGACTCAAGTTATTCCCCTGTTTATTATCACTCAAACATTAAGTGCTTTCTAGATGCTGCTGACTGTCTGCACCAATCAAATGTAACTGAAGTCCAAAAAGTTGTGGTAACTTTGGCTGTAAAACGGAACCAAGATTTGTCTTTACACCCAAACACAGAGCCCCTCAAAATAATAAACCCAAAGTCTTATTATACAGTTTAGAAAAGCTACTGAAGCTTTCATTTTCAAGTGCAAATGCTGCTTAAGAGCTCGAGTGTGCAGACAGATGATGATTTGAGAGCCCATCTCTACCCATGTGTTCAACCAGCTGCTAGAACTTCCCCATTCACGCAGAGGCAGGAGCACCAAGGATGGGCTGGAGGTCCTCAAGGATGACCATGTGAAACCCAATCTTCCAGGATTCACCAAACCCCCCTGCATTCTCTGGCAAACATTGCTCTGCAGGTGCAATCCGTATCAGTGCATGGAAAACAAGCAAAACAAACAGCAGAACATGCAGACGAGGTGTCTGACAATGGAAAGTAAATGTATTTAAAGGTCAAGTCCCAGAGTTTTAGCACACATCCATCCCTGCTCCCCAGATCTCTCCTAACAAGCCTGGAAAGCCAGTGTTAAGAACCCACTACCTCAAGCTTGGCTCCTGACAACACACAACTACCAGGAGAGCGAATGCGTGTCCTGAGGCCATCTGATGGGAACCCACATTCCGAGTCCTTTCTAGTTCTCTGCTCCGTAATTAACAGTGTGAAGGAACCACAAACCAAGGGCAAAACCCAGAAGTTAGGAAGTCAGGAGGCTATCTAGCACTAAGCAAAGGACAGCAACACCCTGGCTGCTGAGCCGAGAGGTGGGTAAGGCTAAGGTACATTAGGTACAACCATCTCATCCCAAATTACCGGTTGCTTCAACTAAAAGAGGAGAAAAACGCAACGAAAGTGACATTTCAGCAGTGGGAAGGAGGGAACCGCAGGCAGAAAAGCCCACAAGGCACTGACCCACCAGCAACATCCCACCAGCAGAACGCTGCGTCCAGAGC